AAGAACTTGGAGCTTGAGTGAAATTGCACACCCTGTTTATGACACAAAACGAAAAACCATACCCTGTTCAGCGGATCATCCCAATATAGTCCATATATGGGAGTATATCCCCCCCCCCTCCTCCAGAAAAAATTCCTGGCAAATCAAGGAACAATATTTCCTCTAGAAAATGACAGAATGACATGTGGCCTAATCACATCTGACAGAGTCTAGTTTTACTAAATTATATGCATTTATTTAAGTGATTTTGATTGTGACTGTGATTTAGAGTATAGGTTTTCATTCCTTGATAATATATAGAGGATATTACATGGGCGCGCAGAGATATGAAATTTATCTTTAAGTGTTGAAAAGATCTCTCACGAGTGAGCGTAGCAAACGAGTAAGAGATTTTCAACACAAGAAGATAAATTTCATATCTCCAAGCGCCCATGTAATATTCTGTTTATTATATAATTATCAATGAAGTATGTTTTGGCTTTTTCAGGCAATTCTTTCCGTGTATTTTTGAATAGCCATCGCAATAATGTTATTTTCACACATGAAAATAACATGTTATTTTCACGTGTGAAGATATCAATTTTTCGAAATAGAGAAAAATAGATATTTCATTGGTAATTATATAATAATTAAATATTATGACATGGGAAGCATGGGTGGGGATAAAAGTGCTCACCTCTCACCAACATAACCCAGGTTGAAATCCTGCCGAGTTTGGTGTCATGTGAGTAGAGTTGTTTGTTGGTTCACTCCTGTGCTTCAGGTTAATCCTCCTAGTTCTCTGGTTTTCCTCCCCCCACACAAAAATCAACTTCTAAATTCTAGTTAAAATTCAATATTGCTTTAAAAAAGATATAAAGGTATTGGATGTTTTGATGACCTCTATATATATATTCATCATTCTTGACAAAAAATTTATCAATGAATATGAATATACTTTTTTTGCAGGATATGTTCCATTTGGAACCATTACAGTAAGTTGCTATCAACAATTATTAATAATTGTGAATAAGAGATATATTTTTCTGTGGTTTACGCTTCACTTAACCATAGTGAAGTAATAGTTTGAAGATGACAGTCAAATGCACACTGACAATAGCATAATTTGCTAATAATATTATAGTTTCATTTTAATTAATAGTTCAATTATTATGTAATATTAATGATTATTATCATCCTTTTCAGGTTGTTGGTATGTTACTTCCGGCACCTAGTCTTAAAACAGTTATATTTTGGCAGGTATGTGGCAATCAATCTGAATTTATAATTATTTTAAAATACCGTATTCAAAACGTGCATGAAAGAACCACTGTTTTCCCCTTATATATTTGATATTTAGTGAAAAATCAAGCTGMGTAAAGGTTTTCAACAGGTTCTTATTTACTAGCCAAAAATAATATTTCCTGATATCATTGGTATTTTTAATTCAATTGTATCATCACTCTATAATTCCATATAAGCAACTATTGTATTATTTTCAAATTCTCTTTCCTGTCCAAATTAAAGATTMATTTGGATCRTTTCCATTCGCATTCTTTCGAGGGAAAACTATGAGTTATGGAATCAGTCTAGTAATAATTAATCTGCAATAGGACTAGATGCCTGTCCAATTTCTAAGGTTTTCTTTGATTGACGGATGATTAACAGAGGCCAACATAGACACCTTGATGTCATGAAAAGTGTCCTGGCTTGTAACGTTTTTATCTGCTTATATATATAACTGTTCTTTAATATATTTGCTTTTTACATTTTTTTTGTACAGTGGATTAACCAGAGCCACAATGCCCTTGTAAACTATTCCAACAGAAATGCMAGTAAGGTTGGTAAGATATGACAGTTACATGTGCTATTGAATTTGTTTCTTGGATGTTTTCTCTTGTATTGGTATATCTTGCCTCCAACTTGAMTTTGTTTAACTCTATTTCCGTAGCCAACTCCAATCAGCAAATTTCTGTTGAGTTACACAGGGGCTATTACTAGCGCTGTTACAATAGCTGTGAGTATTGCTACCAAAATTCTCCTAGTTGTAGTACCAGTGAGTAATGACTACCATTGCCATCACCATTGTCATTACCAGCCCATACCACACCATCCTTCCGTCTCCATCAACACCACACTTCAACTTCTTCTTTTAACTTCTTTTATTTACACTCAATTAGTATTATCAATTAATTGTTACAATTTAGTAAATATTTATATAAATTAAATATATTAATAAATTATACTACAAATGATAAATTGTGGTAAGTATGTATAGTGTAGGGTGATTAAAGCAGCTGATGCTTTCTAGTTAATCACCCTACAACAACCCACAACACCACCTTTCCACTTCCATCAACACTAACAACAAAACACCACTTCACCCTTCCACCAGCATCATCCTAACCAACCCATCACAGCACAAAACCACCCCTACAGCAACACTATCCCTACCAATTAACCAAACCACCCTACTACCAACATCATCACCATCCCTACCAACCCACCACACCACACCACCCTACTACCATCAACATAAGAATCCATACCAACCAATCTCACCACACCATCCTACCAACATAATGATAATAATAATRATAATTTCRTTTGTAAAGCACAAATTCAACATAYGTTTTCAAATGCACTACTAAAACCTATATTATATAAAATCCTATAGCCTATAAAATTAAACATATATCTATAAAAAATCTAAAACATCATAAGAATCCATACCAACCTACCTCACCACCCTAACATCATCATAAGAATCCCTACCAACCCACTGCCCTACCACCAACATCATCACCATCCCCACCAACCCTCCACACCACTACCACCATCATCATCACCATCCCTATCAACCCACCACACTGCCCTACCACCAACATTATTACCATCCCCACCAACCCTCCACACCACTACCACCATCATCATCACCATCCCTATCAACCCACCACATCGCCCTACCACCAACATTATCACCATCCCCATCACAAACAATACATGGGAAGAGGCAAAGGAAACAGCAGAGAACAAAGTGAGGTGGAGGACAATGATAACAGGCTTATGTTCCCAAGGGAACAAACAAGACTAAACCAACCCATCACTAGTACCTCTACCACCATCATTACCACTATCATTGTGTTCAAAGAATTATACTAATTTGTACTCTACTGAATTGTAAAGAGAGTCTATTAGCTCACTAAAATATAATTTTGCATTCATTTGAATTAACATAAATTATTTGAAAAAATCTTTTAAAATCAGTTTTATTTTTTYATAACAGGTTGGCTTAAGTAACTTGATAAAAAAGACAAATTTCTCAAATCCAATGATAAAAAGCCTTGCTCAGAGATTGGTGGCATATCCTGCAACAGGTAAGATTGTATGATCCTTGTACCCTTCTCCCAGCCATCCTATCCTTCCCATTCATTTTTCCATCCATCCATCCTATTATTCCCATCCAAACATCTATTTATTACATTTACTCATAAGTCTCTACTTCTATCCATCTTCTCTCAATCTGTCTATTCGTGCATCCATAAGTTCCATTTATTAATCTTTCCATCTCACCCCATCCCATATATCCAACCATGCATCTATTATAACTTTCTTCCTTCAGCCTAATTCATATGCCTTGCATCCATTCTTTGCATCCCCTTCCATTCATYTCCTTTCATCTGCCACCTTGCTCATCTATCTGTCCCCTTCTGTTATTGGCCCATCCATACAATTTMAACYTYYCTCCATCCCTCYCTCYATCCATCCTTCCATCCATCCATCAATCMATCAACCTAYTTACCAATCCCATCCTCCCTATCTTTCTCCCATCTATCTATCTATCGACTGGTGGCATAGCAGGGAGAGTGCTCGCCTCTCATCAATGCGACCCAGACTCAAGCCTTGCTGGCTCGGTGTTGTATGTGAGTAGAGTTGTTTGTTGGTTCTCTCCTGTGCTTCAAGGGTTTTCTATGGGTTCTCTGGTTTTCTTCCCTTCACAAAAATCAACTTCTAAATTCCAATTTGATCATGGAACAAGGGCCACAGGTTTGTTAGCCACTAGCTATTACGTGCTACCCTACTTTTTTTTAATCTATCATTTATTAATTCAACCATTAATTCATCCCATCCCAAAATAATTATAATAAATAATTATTATATATTTTTTTATCCATGCTTCCAGCTACAGCCAACATCTGTAACATAGTGTTAATGAGGAACCAGGAACTGTTCACTGGTATTGATGTAAAGGACAAGGATGGTAACATCATAGGAACATCAAAAATTGCTGCAAGAAATGTATGTTGAGGACTGTCATACCGCACTTCATTTTTGCTAGAAAATTTGTCAACTGAGGCGTTACTTTTTGTCTTGAAATTATGAATTTCCAGGACACCAAATGGGGAAAAAAGCTGGTATTAAAAGCTTGTTAACAGTAAAACAATTAATGAAATTATATTTTTATTGCAACGGCAGACATGTTTTTTTATTTTTCACTATGAATCCTCAGTTTTACATCAAAGTCATTTCTACGTCACTTTTTCAGATCAGCTGTCTGTGATTATGGGTTGGTTGTATACCTGGATTAAACGTGCTCCAAAAAATTGTATATTGTATCTATGCTCAATAGTTTCATAGATTATTGAAAACCACTCTAGTTCTTGGGAATGGATGTCAATAATTGGGACGTGAGTCCACTTTCCTTTTCAAGACACAGCAGTTCTTTCTTTCTTTATATGATTTATGTTTTGTAAAATTAATACAATAATTGTGACGAATAAACTAAACTAAATTAAACCCTGATTTTAGATTTATTTATTTMTTACATTTTTTTTGTTCCTAAGGCAATATTTGAGACAGCTTTGACCAGGATCTTCCTACCAGCACCAGTCTTGATTATACCAGCATTGGTTATGGCACCATTAGAAAGGTAAATTTTTATTTTCAACATCAGGTTTATCCAGCRTCAGGACGGATGAAAGTCAGGGCACAGCTAAGTTAAAACTCACAAATGTCCCTACCATCCCTCTCCTCTGTTTCCCAACCTTTCSCATCATCTTTCCTTACTCTCCAAAATTTACCTACACTACTATCGCTCTTCTCTCTTTTCTCTCCTTCCATTCCCTTCCCAATTCCTCCCACCTCTCTGTTCTGCCATCGCTGTCCTATCTTCCCTCTCCTCCCATTCCTCACTCTCACCTCTCTCACTCACCCTACCTTCTTTCTCTCTTCCCTCCTCTCCCATTCCCTTCCAACCTCCCTCACCCTACCATCTCTCTCCTCTYAAATCCCCTTTCCTCACCCTCCCACCTCCAGCCCTCACCCAACCATCACTCTCCTCTCTTCCCTCTCTGATTCTTTACCTTCCCTCTTGTCTCTCCCTACTATCGCTCTCCCCTATTCATTGCTCTCAAATCCCATCCCACTGCCTTCAATTACCCTCCCACCTCCCTCACCTTACCATATTCTATCCTCTCCCATCACCTTCCCTCRCCTGCCCACCTCCATCTTTCTACCATGGCTCTCATCTCTTCCCTCCCATCCCATTCTCTTCCATCACCCACCCACCTCTTTCTCCATACTATCGCTCTCACCCCTCCACCACCTCACCCTACCATCTCTCTCTTCTCCCCTCCCACCTCCCACCTCCCTCTCCCTACCAACGCTCTCCTGTACATCCAGTTCCCTCCTCACTTAAACTCCCTTGCAATACTGCAATATTATCACATCTACTTACACCTCCGATTGATAAGCAATGATGTTAATTTTCAGGACTCATTTCCTGAAAATCCGTCCCAAACTCCATTTACCGGTTCAAGCCGCAGTGTGTGTTGTCGTGTTCGGTATTGCACTGCCGTTTGCAATTGCAATGTTTCCTCAAGAATCCCAGGTAAAAAAGGATATAACAAAATACATACCAAATTACGTACTATCCTAACACCAACAACACTGCACAAGTACATACTACCCTAACACTAACAACACTGCACAAGTACATACTATCCTAACACTAACAACACTGCACAAGTACATACTGTACTAACACTAACAACACTGCACAAGTACATACTATCCTAACACTACACTGTACAAGTACATACTATCCTAACACTACACTGTACAAGTACATACTATCGTTCCCTTAAGTATAATTTCTTTATTTAAAAGTTGCACATGAAAAGACACATGAATATTGATACAACTCAAACAAAGAATTTATACTCAAGGGAATGACACGTGGTCTGAAATGGGAAACAATGCATCCTTCAAAAATCTGACCTTGGCATGTTGATATTTTTAAACAGATATTAACAACAGATTTGGAACCAGAAATACAATCCAACACATTGGAGACTATGTTGTATTACAATAAGGGACTTTGAATAATCAACGAATGGCACCGACGTCAAGAAATGTTGGTAAAACTTTACACAATATTTTCAGAATCGATTCTTTAGATAGTGAATAGTTGATTGTGAGAATATTTTGCCATTTGAGTGTCGGTTCTTTAAGATACARAGGTTTATATTTCTATATGTTAATGGCTATTCCATTTCATTTTATTCCATTATATTTTTTGTTGTCTGTTCTCTTTAATATGTTCTTTGTTCTGTTCGAATTATGTTCATGTAAGCTAGCACCTAGACATGCTTCCTTTGTCGAAGATTATAAAATATATCAACGGTTCTGAATCGTACAAATTTCTATCGCGACAAAATAAGGTTTTGGTGGACGTCAATCAAAGTGTTTCCATGACAACGTCGGAAAAAAA